AAAATGAGCCAATTTTCAAAAATAGTGGAGTGTTCCTTTAAGACATATTTTTTTCTCACAGAGGGAATAAGGAAGCTGTTCTCTGGAGCGTTAATGGCAGCTAGTAGAGGGGCCATGGTCACTGTGGGGCAGGTAAAGGAAAAACCGTTTAGTTTTTATAGCCACACTTGCAGACAATCATAGAATAGGCTGTGAGTGGTCTGTCATTTTGCCATGACCAGGATAGTCTCAGTTCCTCACTAGTCTTCTGTGGTTCTTCTAGCTCTCCTGTTATGACCAGGCCAAGCAGCTGGTTCTGGGAACTGGTTTGATGACTGATAACATTTTCACTCACTTTGTTGCTAGCTTCATTGCGGTAAGTTGCCCTCCTCCTCAGGAATGCATTATAAACTAACCTTTACTTCTTTAAAGGTTACATTTTTATTTTATTTTATTTTTCCCTAAGGTCCACTTATAATGTTGGTCAAGTAGTAATGTAGTAGTTTGATTTAATTTGCATGACCATTTACACCTTCTCTCTCACTAAACAAGCTGTTTTTGCTACTGTGACTTTAAGACCATTCCTTTTTTTTGGCATGTCTTTTTAAAAATAAAAAAAAAGTTTTGTTGATGATTCTACTTAGTAGTTCACCTTAGCTCACTTAGTAACATTTTAATGTTTTCTTCACAGGGAGGTTGTGCTACTGTTCTCTGTCAGCCTATGGATGTTGTGAAAACCAGACTGATGAATTCAAAGGGGGAATACAGGGTACGATTCTGCTTGAATTTTCAATTTTGTAATTGTCTTTTTTTATTATTTATCTTACATCTACATTGCATCTTGAATTTCCTTTAATTATTTAATTCACCATACACTACTGTTCAAAAGTTTGATTTCTTAGAATTTTTTTGAATATTGTCTTCATTCAGCAAGAACAGATTTGATCAAAAATGACAGTAGAGACATTAATCAAGTTACAAAATATTAATATAATTTAGAAAATACTTTTCTGTTGAAAATTATATTCATCAAAGTATCCTGAAAAATGCATGTTTCTACAAATATATTAAGCAGCACAACTGTTGTCATTGATAATAATAAGGAATGTTTCTTGAGCAGCAAATCAGTATGTTAGAATGATTTCTAAGGTATCATGTGATGCTGAAGACTGGAATAATGATGCTGAAAATTCAGCTTTGCATCATAGTAATACATTACATTTCAGAATATATTAAAATAGGAAAACAGTCATTTTAAATCGTAATAATATTTTACAGTATACTTGTTTTTACTGTATTTTTGATCAAATAAATGTAGACTTGGTGAGCATAAGAGACTTTTTTAAAAAACATTTTCAAAAATCTAAAAAAAAAAACATAAAATGTTTGAAGGGTAGTGTACAGTATATTCAGTTGTGACACACTAATTTCTGTGGTAGGGGGTGATTCATTGTCTGTCTGATACTGGAAAACTCGGACCTAAAGCTTTCTACAAGGTGAAAAACATTTTT